AGGAAGAACATACAGAAGACAGATCCACAACATCATTAAAAGCACAAATAAATGTATCATGAAATGTTAGACTTGGCAGGATGCAAGCCCTGATCTAGTCCAGTGATTTTCAAAGTATGATTCATGGACCCCTGGAAGTCCACAGGACCCTTCAGGTAGTCTTCAAGATCAAAACTATTTTCACTAGAGTACTACACATGATTTGCCTTTTTCATCATGTTGACATTTATGTCAAGGGCACAAAGGTAATGGTGGGTGAAATGGTTGGTACCTTAGCATGGGTCAAGGCAGGGACACTAAACTGTACTCTTCACCACTGCAAACTCACAGTAAAAAATAGTTTTTAAAAAAGCCAGTTTTGCTTAAGAATGTTCTTGATAAAACAGAAATTAATTTTATTAAATGTCAACCCCCAAGTACATAACTTTGTACTCTTCAGTATGACAAAGCAGGAAGCATGCATAAAGCATTTCTGCTGCATATGGAAATATGATGACTGCCTTTCAGAAAAGCTCCTGGGTGATTGTTTGAGTTCCAAGCCTAACTAGTCTCTTTTTCATGGTATACTATTTTTATTCAGAAGAACAGACTATGCTTGTTTGGACCTGGGCAGATGGTGGGCATTTTCTTGAAGATAAAACCCTGCTATCTCAAGAAAAACATCTGAAAGTATTTGTTGGTGATGGAAATTTTAGCTTTTAAGCAAAAAATTAGAATTTTGAAAAACATATATCTACTACATATTTAATACCTTGCCAGTACTTAAAGATTTTCCTATGAGATAAATGGTAATGTTAATAAATATGACTTTTAAATGTTATACAAAGTAATATGTCCGTATTTGTAAGATCTGAAATAAGGCAGTAAACCACATGACCAATGGAGGCTTTTAGAAAATCATATATCAGTAAAAATAACATGGAAAGTGCAAGATGGACCCATGGATATAACAGAATGTAAGTTTTTGATATGCCTTCCCATTTGCAACTGATCTTTAAGAGACTCTAACTTATGAAGTTCAGTATTGAATCATGGATGGCTAATGACAATTATCTGGAAAGGCTATTAAAATACCCCTCCTTTTTTCCTACTACATATTTGTGTTAGGCTGGATATACTTCACATACTGGGTTGGACAGAAAGCTTGTTCAGGTTTTTCTTGAACAGCTTACAGAAAAACTTGAATGAACTTTTTGACCAACCTTCAACCTAAACCACATATGACAATAGACTGAAGGCAGAATCATATTTGAGAATCTAGTTATCTCTCCTCAAGCCAGATATTGAATAGATTTATAAAATTATAAAACAATCCTACTTTTCTCATTTTTTTGTTTTGGAAAATGGTTATTTTTCAAAAAATGTTTTGTAGGTTAACATATAATGGATTTCCTTTTACTAATTTAAAACACTTCCCATTTTAATTCCTAATATGTTAAATATTGATGGCTGTAGTCTACCTAAATGAAAGATTTTGGGGACCTGAAATAATTCTTGTAAGTAAAAAGGGATCATGAGACTAAAAAGGTCTGAGGACCATTGCTCTAGCCCATCACCTTATTGTTCTAATGGGGAAACAGAAGCAAGAACTAGATAAAAGATGGTGTATTAAACATCACTAGAATAAGCTGTCAAAATATAGCTGGTAGAGAATGAGCCTGCAATGGAGACCTAGGTTCACTCCCTGGGTTGGGAAGATCCCCTGGAGAAGGGAATGGCCACCCACTCCAGTATTCTGGCCTGGAGAATTCCATGGTTTGTATATCTATAGTCAAAAAGAATCAGACACAACTGAGAAACTTTCACTATCACTCCTTTTGCAGAAGAAACTGCTTTCAGATAGAAAACACACACACAAACAATTTTTTGGTAGATGTGTTTTGGTTGAGTATTTTTGTGACTTGGCAGTCCAGTTGTCATCACTGGAGATCCTAAGCTTGAATAATGTATGACATGGTGCAACTTACCCGAAACAAATAATTTACTTTATTATTCTAAATTTAAAAACCTTCAGTGTGCATTTCAGTCCCTTGTCTTTCTGGAAAAGTACAAAAGGAAACTGGCAACAAAGAAGGAGTAGCAGCCATAGAAAGCGGCTGACTGGTGGCAATTAGAGCTGGTTAGTGGCTGCCCTGGGGCCAGAAGTCCGAGGTCACGGTCGTCAGCCCAGGTGACCATAAATGAGACCATCAGCAACCGTGCACTGTTGAGACACATGTGACTGAGGAGCGCCGGGTGCTTTAAAACACGGCTCCTGCAGGCATGTCCCTGTCAGAGACACAGGAAGGCTCAGAGGGTCAAAAATGCTCAAGGACCAGGGGTAGTGAACTTGAAGTCACATAGGATTGTCAGGGGCTACTGAGGGCTTCCCTGGTGGTTCAGATGGTAAAGAATCTGCCTGCAATGCAGGAGACCTGCTTTCGATCCCTGGGTCACGAAGATCTCTTGGAGAAGGGAACGGCAACCTACTCCAGTATTCTTGCCTGGAGATTTCTATGGACAGAGGAGCCTGCCAGGCCACAGCCCATGGGTTTGCAAAGAGTCGGACACGACTGAGTGACTTTCACATCACGGAGGAATAGAAACAGCAGGGTTCTGGGTCTGAGGAGGTGGCGAGAAGAGAATGATTCAGACTCGGAGTCACGAGTAGCTTTAAATGGCAGAGATCAAGCTCTCAGAACATAGATCTGGGTAAGGGGAACCCTGTGTATCAGAGGCCCCCAAGTTAGCCTGCTCTAACCCATGGAGGTCCCCACACAGGACCCAAGTCTGCAGAGCCCAGGGGACTTCCATTCATTCAGCTCACACTGTTCACTTGTTGGCCGCTTTCTGGGCTCAGGAAGGAGCCTGAGTTCAAGGCTCCCAGAATTCACTGCACAAACAACCCCATCCTGTTTCCAGGCTGTTTGTCCTCCTGTGGGTGGGCCAGCCACCAGTGTGTGACCCTGAGTCTGAGGGGAGCTGGGAGTTGTCTATCTGAAGGGCAGGTGGATGGAGCTTGGACGTGCGGTCTGTGGTGTCCATGCTCAAACACGTGAGGTTCCTTGTGGTACCGATGGAGTCGGGAGTCTGGGTGGCTATCCTCATATGACACTTCCTGCTGAGTTTAAGTCGGACCTTCTCTAGTTCATCACCTCATTGTTGCCAGGGTAGACAGACAGAACCTATTTTTATAATAGTATGGCTCCATTTGTACTCTTGTCTGAGAACCCATAAATATTAGGGGCCATTTTTCTTCAAAACTGTGTTTGCAGACATGCTGGTGGACCTTCAGTACTGGCATGTTCCTGGTGAGCCATAGTCTCTATCTTTGATCATTTCCTATCCAGAAACTTCAACACACATTATGAGTTCTTAGCAGAATAAACATGTTTGTGTCTAGGCATTATATCAGAGAATTGTCCAAGTCATGAATGTTATCCTGGGTTCACTAAGCCTCTCCCTGAGTGGCAATCAGCTGGGTCAGTGCCCGTGTTCTGAGCTGGCAGGCACGTGGTGGGCATCCTTGGGGGAATATCCAGAGTGTGTGTCTGTGTTGTTGCTGGAATCCTCCCACAAGTCAGTCCAGAGAGAGGGCTGCCCCAGGGAAGGTCACCATGGTATCTGCAGCTGGTGGGGAAGCTAAGTCTGCTAATTCAGAGACTATTGGACCCAGAAGAGTGGTGCACAGAACCGGAGCTCCTCAATCATGACACCGTCTGGGTGCACGCCATACACTGGAGACGTGCCTGTTGACTCACCATCCTCACGGCAGATGGCTCAATTAACAATCCGAACTGTGGCTACTGCGGGGAGTTAAAGATAGGACATTTGAAATCTTTGCAAGTCAGTCACAAATATAGTTGCCACTGTGGAGAGCTCCCTCCATGCCACTGAGCACTTCATCGTCATTGTTGACTTGTTTTAATTTAAATTCGCATAACACGACTCTGAGCCCCCACTGATCTCAGCATTTTAAACTGTTACTTCATTAATATTAATAGTCTTGTATGGTAAGCACAATGTTAATTTCACTGTACAGTTGAGGCGTAGAGCCGTTATGTAAGGGACCCAAGGTTGTAAACTAGTATGTGGAGGACTGGGGGCATGTCCTGGGGCAGCCTGCCTCTGGGGTCCAGCTCTATTAATCATATATTTGACTCAGTGCAGGCATATAGTGTTATCATCCCATGTCATGGAGAACATGAAGCTGAGCTCTCCAGTTTCTCCAGCTTCCCTGGAGAGGTTGCAGAGCTGGTGAGAGGTACTGAGGCTTGAGCCCTGTCTACTAAATCAGCTGGACTCTGGAGCACCCGCCCCCCCCTTTTCTGAGCATTCTGGATCCACAGGAGTTTGTCACATACTGAACAATTGTATCATTTCCATCCTCCCTGACTAGTGTAGGATAAAGGTCTACAGATGGTCTGGAGGAGGCCCTGTGCTGGCTTGCAGAGCACTGGCGATCTGCGGGAGGAAGGAGGCGCCCTGCAGGGCATTGCTGGCCCCTGCTGTTCTCCTGACTTTGGAGACCTTGGTGGCTGAGTGCTCAGTTGACCCCTGTGCAGTAGTGGCGCCCTGGTGAAGAACCTTCCTGACAATGCAGGAGACCTGGGTTCCATCCCTAGGTCGGGAAGAGCCCCTGGTGAAGGAAATGGCAACCCACCCCAGTATTCTTGCCTGGGAAACCCCGGGGATAGAGGAGCCTGGCGGGCTGCAGCCGGCCGTGACTGAGCAGACGCACGCACAGTGGAAGGGCCCTGGTTTTGGAGGGTGGCAGACGCGGGTCTGCGCTCCACCTCCCTTGGTTACTTGGCCTGCTTGGAGTCGGGGTGTTTCCTCGGCAGGTGGTGGGGGTGCTGACGCTGGCTGCGGGGGTGCGGGGGGTGGGGGCAGGGCAGAGAACATGCAGCCCAGGGCTGAGCTGATTTCCTCCGCCTCTCTTCATTCAGAGCCTCACGGGAGCCCCGAAAAGACCCAGAGGAAGCTCCTATCCTGGGAATCTGGCTCGCGGGGAGAGTGTCATGCCAGCTCATCCGTCCCCTGGACTCCGGAAAGCGGAGACCGCCCTGGCCAGCAGTGTGGCCTGCTGGGCTCCTGACGCAATGGCTCGGGCAGAAGGCCCGGCGCTGCCTGGCCCTTGGCCGGGGCTGCTCGAGCCAAAGACGGCAGGAGCCAGGAGGCCTGGCTGGGGCCCGCTGCCGCCTTCTCTCTCTGGCCCAGGGTCTGCCTCCCTGGACCCGAAGGGATGCGTGGGGCATTTGCACAATAGAGGCGCTGCTGCCAGCTTTCCCCTTTTCATTTCAGCCTGCTGTTTTATTTTGTGGGTGAGTGGTAACTGTGTTCCTGAGACACAATCGGAACTGGCAGTCTGCTCCCAGGGCCGGGACTGCACGGGTCAGGGAGCTGTGTGGAACCTTACGGATTTTGTCCTCTTGCGTGGAAAGTAAGGAGTCCGGGTCTAGAACGATTTCTAAAGCGTTTCCTCCGCTCCCCTAGGCTGACTTGGAGGGAATACAGGGAGCGGAGCATATGTTTCGTATTGATTTGCATTTGCACACTTTCCTGCATCCATTATCTCACCTCATTAGGGCTTGGAAGGGGAAGCCGAGCCGAGTGTGGCAGCAGCATGCGCTTTCCTGAGCCCTGTGGAGAATTGTCCCGAACGGTAAATGAGACAGTTGCAAGGGCCGGCCAGCTGCCTGCAGGGGGCCTAGTGGAGCCTGGCCGGCTGCGAGGGTCCCGCTGTGCCCGCGTCACGTGGCCCAGCGAGGGCGCGTCCTGACCCGGCCGCTCCGTGATGGACGATCCCTGCTGGAGCTGCAGAGACCCCACGAGGCCCCGTGGACCCCACACGGGCCCCTTTCTTGGTTTTGTGTTCCTTGCGTGGTAAAACAAAGGGCTGAAATGGAGCAACTCCTTCCCTCCTTCCCGAATGGCCACCTTCTAAAAGTGGGGGGTGGACAGAGAACTCCTGTTCAGTTCTTAAGAGAATGATGGTGGGGAAATCACAAGGTCAGGGCTGATCAAGAGGCGGCAGGTGTGGCGATGGGATGAGGAAGGGACCTCTCCTGTGGCGCTTTCATGTACACCTCAGATTTAGAGCCAAAGAAGCCCCAATGTGTATTTTATGTGAGAGTATTAAAATTATATATGTGCATGTATCTGTATGTATATATGTATCTATATGTATGTTTGTGTGTATATGTATGTATATGTCTATATGCATTGTATATTATATATGTGTATATGTATGTGTGTATAATATACATGCATGTATATATTTATGTAGGTGTATATGTATGTATGCATGTATATATGTATGATACATGTATGTCTTCTATATCTGCATGTTTGTGTATATATGTCTGTACACACGTGTATATGAATATATATGCACATAGATGTATATACTCAACCAAATCATTAAAATGCAGATATGGTTGTAGCCCAGGCATCACTAGATCTCTGAATAGCCCTGCTTAGGAGTAACCTTCAATATTTGTGATTGTCACCCTTGACCTTTTGATGTATATCTTACAGTTTGTTTCTGAGACTTTCCTCTCTCACAGCGTGAGAGATGTGTTAGTAGATCTGCCTGTGTCTCTTATCGGTTGTGTGAACATGGATGAACCACTTGACTCTCTTGGGTCTCAATTTCCTCATCTTCTGAGTAGACTGTGCCATATTGACTGACCTAGTTATGAGGTTGAGGCCACTGAAAACAGAATGGCCCAACAATACCTGCGCCATGCTTTTGTGGTGATGAAATGCTATGTAAAAGTGGAGTGGTATTATTTGGGAATGAATAAAGCCATTTTTCCTTTGCCTGTGAAAAATTGTCTTTGTTAATTAACTCTTTCCCTTAAAGTAGTCTGGACTAACAAAGCATCACAAGACCAAAGTTTGGTCTTTGGAAATAAACAGAGTCCCCCGTAAGCTTCTGTAAGTGGTAGGAATTAAGCAGACTCGGGGCTTACTGAAGGACTGTGACACAGAGAGGTGTTTGGTGGTGGTTCTTGCCTCCATCCAGAAAGGGAGATGGGTGGTGGAGACTTTGCTGCCTTGCCTGGTGGTCTCAGAGAGAGAGCCGTCCAGGTTGGAGGCGTGTCAGGAAGGTCACAGAGAGCCAGTGGTCAGAGAAGAGGCCCAGCCAGCCCTGGACCGTGGCATGAACCTGGCACCGGGTGGAAGAGCATCATCTCTTTGATTGTGGTCTCTACTGAGCAGACACAAGAGCTGTCAGGACTGCGTTCACCCCATATCCTTGGAGTAAGATTTCTCATGGGGCCGTATTTTATCATCTCTAAATTAAATGGTTCACAGTGCCATTTGCTTTAAGATAACTTGAAAAAAAATCACTAGGCCCCAGAACATACAGTACAGAAAAGTGGGGTGGATTAGAAAGTAAAATCAGGCATCAGGATGACAACAGTTTACCCTCATGGAAAGGAATATTCTGCCAACTGTTCCCATATACTTTTGTTTCAAACATCCCCTCATTACCATTTTAAAACATGTGCTTATTCAGCTGCTCTCCAATTCTGCAGCTTGGCAAAGTGAAGTTGGTAATATTAGCCCAGGTGGGAGCCTGCTGGGCCCTTGGCACCCCAGAGTGTAGGGGTAGGTGGAGGAGGGGAGAGGCGGGGTCAGTCACAGAGTCCGGAAGCTGTTAGGCCCAGGTCCACAGTGGCCAGCGGGCATAGCAGAGGGGGAGGGATGAGGGCAAACCGAAGGATCAGCAGACTGTGGTTGCTGTTCCTAGGCGCCAGGATCACCCTGCCTTCAGCTTGGAGTGTGGCAGCTCAGCCTACGAGCAGGCTTCAGAAGATGATACAGAAGCAGATATACAGGCCCAATCAAACGGACTGTGCCCCCGGCTTAGGCGTGAGACAGGGCACCAGGCTGTACAAAGGAGGCAAAGTGCCTGTGGCCGGTCAGCATAACAGAGCTGGCCTGACAGAGCTGGCCTGACAGAGCTGGCTGAGGGACTTGGCCCTGTCTGCCTGGGCTGGAGGTCTACTTGGCAGGCCAAACAAAAGCCCAGCTGTCTTGATGGGGCTTCTCGTCCCAGTTCAAACCCGTCTTGGCTGGCCAACTATGTGGTGATTGCGTTGGGGATGGAGGCTGCCTGAATCTGAAGGATGGAAGAGATGCTGGTATAGGACTTAGAGAAGATAGTGGCTGAACTCTGGTCATTATATGGCTCTTGTGGATATCATTTGCGTGGACTCAGTTTGGTACCAGATTACAAAACACAGGAAGTTCTCCCTTTTGAGATGACCATCTTTTATCCTTTTCATATTACCTTAGATGAAAATGGAATCCCAGTTGGCTTCAAGGGCACCTCACCCATTCTCCCTACCCCACCCATGATCATTTTCATGGATTTGTTGGACAGGTGACTGGAGTCAAAAGCAGTGAGCCAGCATGACATATGGTGAAGGTAATGGGCTCAAACAGGACCTTTTGCCTTGGCCTTGTAACCTCAGGCTTTCCTCAGTTGAGCCAAACTCCCCATTTGGGTGGAGGTAGTTTTGACAACCGCTGCTGCCTAGAGGAGGCAGAAACCGTGTGCCTGATATCTTCTAACTGGAGAAGGGAAGGCTCAGGAAGGGAGCCGGGCTCAGGGCCAGGCTGAGTTGTCCACCAGACTTGTGTAAACAGCAGGACTTCACTTGAAAGTAACACGGAATCTGAAGTAACAAGAACTTTACCCTTGAATTTCCGAAAGGGAGAAGTCAGTCTTGTTTGACAGGGTTTTTGGGTTCTGAACAGCATCCTATCTCGAGAACGACAAATGTATCTGGCTCGACTGACTCTGACAGACATTTTTCTTCAGCCCTGCGATTCTGTGGACACTAGTACCTGAGTGTAAGACTTGCACAGGCAACTCAACAATGTGTCCAGTGAACTCTCTGAAAGTGCTTAACACGACCAGTAAATAATAAATAATGGTGATCAGGATGATGATAGTAAGAACTGAAGTGTATTTCTTGGGCCTAAACTGATACATTATTTTGCTAAGTGTTCAGCTTCCTGTTGGTTTGCTAAATTACTCTTTTATCATATTTAAGGTACAAAGTTTAGTGATTTACCCCTCCTTGTAATTAGGCTGGGTGATCAGAGAAATCTTGCAGTGACTCTGTTCTTCCCCTTGAGTAGCATGCTCACAGGGAGTCTGAAGGTGACTGCTGCTTGCTGAGCAGAAGAACATTTATCATTGGTTCAGAACAGTTTTGCAAAGTGAAAATAAATTTAAATCTTCTCCAGAAATTACCATCAATAATGTCTATATCAATGTGTGGCAAAATTTCAATGGCTGGTCTATCTACCTTGAAAGATGTTTGGGAAAATAGCTCTTCCAAATGCAGCTACTAAAATTGGGTCAGATGTCTCAAATTTTTGAAGTCTTGCTCCAATAGAAGCTTCTAGAGGGTTAAATAGGCCTTCCCAGGTGGTTCAGTGTAGAGAATCCACCTGCAATGCAGGACGCAGGAGATGTAAGTTTGATCCCTGAGTTGGGAAGATCCTCTGGAGAAGGAAATGTCAATCCCTTTTAGTATTCTTGCCTGGAGAATCCCATGGACAGAGGAGTCCGTAGGGTTTCAAAGAGTCAGACATAACTGAGCAACAGCACAGAAAGCCAAATATGAGGCTAGAGTGATGTTACCATCTTGGCCTCACTGGTGGAGATTTCATTTTCAGAAGGGATATCTATTTTTTGTCTTTGCTGCTATACAGATCATCTATAGCATTTCCTTCAGAGGTGGACTTATTAATGGAGGCTGATTTTGCTTGGCAAAGGGGCATCCAGATTCAGTCAAGGCTCTGATGGAAAATGTCATTAACTTCCTATATCTGTTTCCTTTCTCCATGTGTGATGTATCATGGAAGAGTCTCAACCTACAAGATACTTGGCATAGATCAGCTTTCAGGAAGCCAGTTTTCTTAGTGATTGTATTTGGCAACTTTGATAGCCTGTAATTTTAGTCTTAAAGAAGCACTGTTGTGTTATCTGGGTAGTTTGCTCCTAGGATTAGAAAAGAGGGCACTTTATTGGGCATCAAGTGACATACCCGAGTTAGTGGAACTGAAAGTTCTTATGAAGTTTTAACAGGAGTCAGCACCATGTTCATTCATGAGAAAGATAAGAATGCAGTGGGGTGAACCCAAATGACAAGATCGTTTCCATTTTAATGTTCCCAGAGACATAGCTCCAATACTTTTTCATTTACGTTATTCATAGATCTTACTTTCCCTCAGTGTAAATTCAGTATTCCCAAAAAAGTCCCTTATGTTAAAGGTGACATTGCTTTCTCTTTTGGAACATGCACTTGGCACAGAATTCATTAGCCAGACAGGTGTTTATGTCACTGTCAAATTGCAATTGCTATTTTTTTGGTTTGTTTCTGCCTATGGGAATAACACAGCTATTAGATGTTAATAAGAGGCAAATACCTTTCTATGACCTTTTCTAAGTTTAGGCATGCAAAAGAAATAGCAGCCATTATTCCAAAGGTTGCTTACTATTATTGTTTTCTCTCTACAAGCTTAAAATGACATGAGCCTGGAGGTAAATGGAGATATGTATGCTCAGGGACTAGTTGGAAGAGTATAAAATCAATGCAGGAGGCAGTTGGGAGCATCTCATGAGAAGTAAAAATATCAGATAATACATGAAAGAGTTGATTGTTTCTGTAAAATTATATATAGAGATGGGGAAGGAAAAAAGAGGAAGGAGACTATATTAGTAAGAATGGAGAAGTTTACACTGGAAAAGTT